AATAATTGTTTACAATTGCCTTTGAAATCGCATTTTCAAACCAGTACTTGTGCAGCAATATTGGCCATATGGCAACCAACCTCCATGCAGGTATAGAATCTTACCCCGCTGCACTCATCTGGTAATGAGCTCAGGGAAAAGAGCACTTCTGTAAAAGAAATCTATCTTTGGCAGGGAGTCACTGATCCAAGAGTTGTCCAAGTAAATTTTCTCCACAAATAGTGGTCTACTCTCTCCAAAGTATACTACAAGAATGATCCCTTTAAGATCCAAGTTAGAACAATAGAGCTGCCCTTGAGTTTGTACATAATAATCATGATTTCGTTTTAACCTTACAGTTCCATCAGCAAGTTTCTCTAGAAAAAAAGTTTTATTTTGGCAGGCTTCTTCGATAGTCATGCTTGCTTTGCTTAAAGGAGATTTAATTTCCATCCCCCATTTTTCGTGAGTATCCTTAATGGTTACAATCCTGTCTATGCTTGCCCCCAGGTATGGCTTGTCCTTGGACACCAGTAGCCCAATTTCCTCAACAGTAACATCAATGCCATTCTTTTACATTTCCCTCATGTAAAGGGTCACTGCCTTTGCTTCACTTTCGATGCCATATTGAGTAGCATCTGTAGTAAAATTCGAGTAGAGGATTGATTTCAACTTGTTTGAAGGTTCCACTTTGTTCTTAGCTGCTTTTTGGGTTTAACTGAATGTCAAATCAAGGTAATAATGAGCCACTACTCGTTTAAATCATGTGAGGATATAAGCAGTATCTTTAAGTTCATGTTTCCCGACACTGAAACTGCTAAACATTTTGCTTGCGGGGAAAGAAAAGCAGCATATCTGGCAACCTTTCCTGTTGCACCTCATTTTCTCTCATTGTTAAAGGGAAAAGTCCGTGATCAGTCTGAATATGTTTTGCTATTTGACGAAAGTCTCAACAGTGGAATGCAAAGTAGACAGTTCGATGTGCTGGTGAGGTACTGGAATGCTGATAAAGTAGAGTCGCGGTATTTCACCTCATACTCATAAGCTGGACGTATCACAAACAATGAATGTGATAAAGTAATGCATCAGTTCAATCACTTCCATGACAATTCTCTCACTGCAGATTCTGAGGCCTTCAAAGGTTTTTTTAATGGAGACTGGTAGAGTTTACACCTTTTATTTTAATCGTCTGGCTAACATGGCTGATTTGAAGGAGCTTTGAAAAGTTGTCAAGTTGCTCCTGGCCCTCTCTCATGGACAAGCTACTGTGGAACGTGGTTTCTCCAACAAAGAAGTCATGGTTGAGAAGCTTGCTCAACATTCACTAGCGGCAAAACGAGTCATCTGTGACCATGTGCGAAGTGAGGGAGGTGTTCTTAATGTTTTCTTTTCCAAGGAGTTGCTGTTATCTATAGCAAGTGGAAGACAGACATACTATACTGCCCTTGATGAGAAAAGAAGAGAAAATAAAGGGATCAGAAAGGAAGAGATCCTTACTTGAGGAAATTTCCACTTTGAAAGAAAAGAGAAGATTGGAGACTTTGTCAGCAGCCCAACACCTAAGCTGTATGAGAAGACACAAGATACCCTATCAAACCAAAAACAAAACTCATTTCATTAGTTTGTTTCATCCTCTTCATCACTGTCAGCATCATAGTTATCACCATCATCATCAACGTCGTCATCATCTTCACATCCAACAAATTGGTTGTCTTCATCTATTGCATGGAATTTCTTGCGAATTGAATGGTAGGTACATGCCAGCAGTGGTACTCTATTTTTATCAACATTCCCAAACACCAAGTGGATAAAACCCCTATGGGCAATGCTTCGTAGAAATCTGTGGACAAAATTACAGAAAAAAAATTAAACAGTTCAACTTATTTTTACAGCTCTTCCAAAGAAAGTAACCTTACCTATTTTGCTTTCCCTCTAAGTTGGTTGGTGACACTATCATGATCTCTTTCCTCTTCCAAGTTTTATACCACATTTCTAATATTTTCCTCAACTTTTATATGACTTATCTTTCATTTGTCACCCTAATCAAAGTTGTATGAAACAGAGCTCAGACTCAAGGGCATAATTATACAAGTCACATATTTTTAGAATAAAATAAACCTGTTATTGTAACTTATTGTAACAACACCTAATAACATTCAAACATCAATTAGGAGACTGATTACAGACAGATCTAAAACAATGAGCTGACTACATAATTGATGTCTCTGTTCATGTCTAACCACATCACACAAATTACA